CTCTTACCTGAAGCACCTGCGTCATGGTGACGAAGTAGACGTCATTCTTGTCGAGCACCTCGTCGATCCACTGAATGAAGGCGTCCTGCAGCTCCGGATTCAACTTGAGCCAGCTGGCGTGGAAGAAGACGCCCAGCGGCGCCCGGTTCGTCTTGTAGTGCCGGTCAAAGTTGTGGTTGAGGAAGTTGTAGAACTGGTCGCCGGTGAGAATGTTGGCACAGCTGTCCACCATCGAGCAGCCGGAGAGCTCCTCGTCGAAGTTGGGGTCGTCGCGGCGGTCGAGCTCGTTCATCACCATCTCCCAGACGGCGTGCGACCGCGTGGGGCAGTTCTGGCCATTGCCGTGGCACTTGTGCGGCATGCGGAAGTAAAGGGTGTACGGCCAGAGGGGCGGGTTGGAGAGCGGCGCGGTGATGGTGGAGTCGTAGAGGAAGGCCTGCTCCTCCATCATGAAGAACTGGTTGTTCCCGCCGACGCGCAGGTACGGCGCTCTGACGCCCACAATGGAGTTGTCGGTGATGTTGGAGAAGCGCTCGATGATGAGGCGGACGCCGGCCATCTCCTTCGCCCAGGCCTCGGTGCTCGCTTCGCTCCAGTACTTTTCGTTGGAGTTGTGGCTGGGGTGAGGGAGATAGAAAAGATAAGCTTTTTGAAAAAAAGAAATCGATGATAAAAGTACTTACGTGATGGAGTGGGCGGCAATCTCGTGGCCCTTGCGGTGCATCTCCTGCACCGCCGAGTAGTTGGTGTACTTGTGGGAGATGAAGAAGGTGCCCTGAAGAAGCAAACGATAAGTACTTACTACCAATTAGAAAAAACTCCACAAACCTTAATGGCGCAGCCATTGGGATTGTTCCGCCCCTCCTTGAAGATCTTCTCGTAGATGTCGATGTTGTTGTTGTTGATGGCGTCATCGAAGGTGATCATGATCATCTGCGGCACCTGATTTGGCTCCAGCTTCCCGGGAATCTGCGTACCATCGGGCGAGCAGAAGCAGTCGGGAAGGACGCACTGAGACTGGTCGCAGGCGGGCGCCCGGTTCGGGTCCTTCTCCACGGCTGAGAAGTTTAGGAGGTTAGAAAATGGGGGCGTTCTACTAGGAATAAAAGTACTTACTGCAAGCATTTTCATCCGAGCCGTCTTGGCAATTAGGTTCGCCGTTACAGAAGAGCTCCTTGCTGATGCAGTCGCCGCTGCCGCAGGCCAACTTGCCCGCCTCGCAGATCGGCTCATCGGTGGCGAGGAGCGGAGCGACCAGACGAGGCTCTGGAAAAGAGAAAGAGGAGATTTGAAAGTGAGGATTAAAACGCTCCAGAACCACGTGTCAGTTACTTACTCTCCAGCTGCTGGCAGTTCTTGACGTTCGACTTCCAGTCGCAGGTCTGCTTGTCAATGTCGAAGGCGAGGCCGGAGGGACAACGCAACGCAAGGAGGCCCTGCACCGAGCAGCGGACCACGTCGCGGCAGTCCTCGTCGGCCGTCAGGCGGAAGTACTCGCTCGGCGGGCGGCCCTTGCACAGTTCGGCGTCGTTGCCGTCGCCGCTCTCCGCCTGCCGCTTGACGATGGAGGTGGCAGAGGCTGAAGAGGAAGGAAGAAAGGAAAAAAGGTTACCATCGGATGAACACTGAAAACTGTGGTTTCGATTTTGTGTGTGTGTTTTTGAATTATTATTATGAAAAGAGAAAGAGCAATCTTGCTGTGTTTTGCTGTTG